ATAATAATAATAATAATGCTGATCATGATGACGATGATGGCCGTAATAATAAACTTTCTACTGGAACGGCAACACAAGTGAGTTTTCTTGTGAAATATTTACGCGTAATTTGCTTTTTGTGCCACACCACAGAAGACATCAGAGTTTGCTGTTTGGCTGGAAAATCTTCAAGTCACTTGTTGTGAGCTGTGACAAATTTGGAAAAGTTCCTTCGAGTTAAACCTCTTTGAATTCAACAGGTCCTCTTGAATGAAAGCTTCTAGTTTTTTTTTACTCACCTTGCTGTGGCGCTGGGGGCTTTGTGGGGGTCCTTGGCCACTAAACAGGCTTCAGGGGCCGGTCGTCCCCTTTGCGCACGGGGCTCCTGAGCTATTCCCCGAGAATTGGCTCGACTTTTCAAGCTGTAAACTTTATTAGGGCCGATTCTGGCTCTCTGACATTTGGGTGCTAAATGAATGGGGGTTTTGTCTATGAATTAGATCGTAAAAATCATCCGAAGAGCGGCCAGATAGGCTCACTGGCCATAAACGGTCACGTGGTAGCCATTAAAGTAAGTTTTATGGTTTTGGGGAGTTGACAGTATATTGCACATAACATATAATCGCACTGACGGCGAGGCTTCGTCTGACTCTCTCTTTGCAGGCTGTAAGTGTTACTTGACCGGTACAGACCATCTCTGTTGCTCAGTCTGCCTCAGTGTGGACCGGACGCTCTCCAGGATGAGGACCGCGTCTCTGGGTAAGTTTCACCAGACTAGCCGGTTGCCTGAGAATAGCCAGCCTGTGTTAAACAGCCTTATTATTGTATTCGCTCCCTCTATCCGTCCCTATTAGTCCATTACACTAATTTGTCAGTTGTGGAGTGCTGAATACTGGTCTCGGCAGATGTTGCGCAGGGTTGGGTCCGGCTCATGGCTATTTAATTGCTTCCTTCCCCGTGTAACTTGTTTCCCTCCATCTGTGGTGTAACTCATAATCCATTTTTACATGTTGGATAATTATCTCTGTGTCCATTTCCACCCCCACAAACTTCTAGCTGTTGTCGTTTTATTGCATTGGAGAATTCACAGACCGTGTGAGCCAGAAAGTTTCCAAGAGGCTCGTGGAGTGTGTAGATTTCCTTGATAAAGTTATGCGCTAATGCGGGCCTACAGATTTACAGCTAGTCCCGTTTGATTCGATTCTGTACGTGCTGATGACTTTTGGAAGTTGTGAGTCCATCCCTGAAAAAAAAAAAGAGAAAAAAAAAGTTGCAGTTGTTGCTCTGCTGAGCGCGCTGCGTGCGCTCCACATGTTGGCACCGTGTATGGCTTTAGGGCAGGCTGTAAACAGTGACAAGTAAACACAACAAGGGAAGAAACAGCAGCAGGGAGACATTTAAAAGGAATTCCGTTTTGTGTCAACCAAGTCGTTTTGTTGTTTGGGGTTGAAAAGTTCAGATGACCTCTTAGAAGTCACTCTCGCTTTGTGGTGACCTCTTGTCCGAACTGAGCTGGTCAGCAGTGGACGCTGATTCCAAAAAAACTGAAGTGAAAATGGGGAATTATGTGACTTGTTTGTGGCCGAACTGGTCATATATATTGTTTTTTAGAATATCCTTTTTCTCCCCTACAGTTTTTGAGTGTGTGTCTGGATGCGCACGTTTCTAATTCCAAATCCGCATAAAAGCGTTGAAAAAAAATTGTCTGACTTTTGGAGTCTTATGAGAGTTTAGGCAGTAAAAAACTTTGCGAATAACAATTGAACTTTCCTGAAATTGTTGCCTGGGAGGATTTGCAAAGGTTACACTGTCCGCCAGTCACAATAACTTATATTTTGGCGCAGAGGCCTTCATCATTTTGACTAAAAAAAATAAAAAAAAAAAATCTTTGCAGGTTATTTCTGAACCTTTCTGCACGTAAACAATCACGTTTATTACCAATGGACTTTAAATGTTTTTACACCAATGCTGGGGTGGAATTAAATTTTTTGGCAACTCTGAGAATAAATCCGGGACAGATGAGGTGAGTTTCTCCCCGGATTTGTTTTATTTATTCCTCTTATCACATAAAGATTGAATGAATATTGTTGGTTTTCGCAACACTGCAGTTATTGAGACCATATTGCTGAACGAATTTAGATCATTGTTATGCAAACTGGTCACCAGCTTGACAAAAATACGGATTTATTCTCTTTCTAGCTTTATTTTGGACACACTGGAAATACAACAGGACAGACTGAGAGAACGGCTATTTGGAAATTAAAACCATTGCCAATATTTCAAAAGGAGAAATTTCGACAGGGCCCCATGTGCGGCGTACTGCCAGGCAGAGAGAGAGAGAGAGAGAAAGAGAGGGGAGCGCAGTAGGTTCATCTGGAGGTCAGCCACAGCACCAAGATAAATCTGCATCCTCTCAGAGCCACCAGCAGAGCTCGCTTTAGGCCAAGTTCACTGTCACCCTGCTGTATAGAAGGAGGAAAACCACTCACACATCCACGGCAGCGCACACGCACATGCACACACACACGCGCGCACACACTCGCCTTCCCGTTAATGACACGTTTGCTTGGCGTTGCCTATAAGCATAATGCGTATAAATGAAGTTACCAAAGGACGGAGAGCCTGTGGTAATATCCCGCACTGGAGGGAAACACTGTGTGAAGGGAGACGGGGAGTAAAACTTAAAAGCGTTGCCACCAACAAAGACTTTTTGGCTGCTTTGGTTCCACTATAACGCTAATGAATGATTTGCATATTTTACGGCCCTATTAGTCTTGAGTGTTGGATTTATCTCCTCACTCTGACGTTGGAAGCATCACAAAGGCTTACAATTGCATTTTAGATCTGGTGCTGGCGTCTTATCTGCTTATGAAATTTGCAGAAAATGATCATTGTGGTGGCAAAGGGATGCGCACATTGTTAAAACTGACTTTTCGTTTCAAAGGGGGCCAGATATCTCAGTGGGCTGCGGCTGATGAGAGCGAGATAGCAGCAGAAGAGGAGGAAAAATTGGGGTCAAAAGTTTACGCGCTGAACAAGTCTCAGTCATCTGTTCACTCGGAGCTTGATGCCAGCCTTATAATAGCGATCTTGACTCTCCACACAAAAGACAGAATAGCTTTGCATTACATATGTTGCACGGTGCACTCCAGGTGAACCCTGGAAGCGCAGTGACCTCGCGTTTGGGACCGGGGGAGGGGACCCCCCACCCGTCCCCAGCAACAAGATTGAGTGGCTGGCGTTTTATTAGGGCGGTTGATTGGTGAATTTCCTTTGAATAAATTGCATTTGATATGTTTAGGGACGAGGGCAAAATTTGCATTTTGAGGATTGATACTCTCGACCCGGTCACAGGGTAATGGGAAGGCCCACAGCCCCCAAAATGCGCCCCCGGATCCCTTAAAAAACATTTAGCCCCGCTCTTCCTGATCAGCTGAATAGAACCCCTTTTAAAAAACAGAAATGGCACAGATGTTTTGGGGGCTTATAAAGGAGCGCTTTTAAAAAAATATACATTTTTACGCATTATAATTTTATTTTTCTTGTGGCCTTTTTAACCGCTTTCGAAACATAAAACAATTATTTAAGCAAGTTAAAATAGTGAACCTTTGGTTGTAGGTCCATAAAGGCACAATGGGATTTGATATGAATAGAAAAAGACGGCAAATGAACAAAACGACAGAAAGAACAAATTAATTTCGTCGATATTTTGCGTTTAAAAAAAACAAAAACATAGTCTCGCCTCATCGCTACTCTTCTTACATGCAATCAGCAACACAGCGCACATAATTACAACAATTTGTTGTTTAAAAAATATGACATAAATATTTAGATTTCACTCAAAACCTGAATTCTACAAACTACAATCCCTCTGAAATGAACCACTGAAATCTGAATACTTCACCACTTTCGATTCCAAAAAGTTTCTGTTTTCATGTGAACAGGAAAAAAATAGAAAACAAGCACTTTTATTGTACAAATGTCCAAAATCGTTGCTGATTTATTTGTGTTATTTCAACACATTTGAACGTATTACGACAATAGTCGTATATAGAAACTGAATACATTATAGGTTACGTCTGTAGTAGAGGATTCTGCACTTTTACGCACAATGAAAGTGTTCAGATGTCCAAAAATGTTTTTTGTTTTTTTTAAAAAATTCTGTTAGGTTGCTTGGGTTACACTGACAAATGAAAGGTCGTTGATGAAGAACATAAAACAGCGAATTCGTTCACGCTGAAAACACAATGCAACATGTAGTTATCTACACGTTTTAACATTATTACTTTTAAAAAACAAACAATATTTCAGATGTTTGCAGTTCTATGAATGTAGATATTCACAGGCGACCTGCCTGGTTGCTGCTTCTCTTCTTGCAGAGCCCAGTCAAACAATTTTTACTTTTTTGGTACATTTTAAAACATCTTAATGATTGTTTAAGCCACTTTTTTGCAGCACTTAGGCCCACTGAGCTTATTTTTTTTCACATTTTGAGGACACTGGTTGAAGAGCTGCTGCCTGAAATCTAAAATTCTCGCACAGTGTTGCAGTAATTACAGCTGCCCCTTCACGTAGAGGAATAAGGAAGATGCCCATGCGCTTTTCAAACGACGTAGCTGCTTTTGTTCTTTTGCTCAAGCCTTAACCCATTTCAAGCTTTAAAATCACTGCAATAAAAGTCTAATCAAAAATAACACCTACAGAGAAAAGACAGACAGCATCTTAGCGATTTGGAAACCTAATCAAGTTTATTCTCGCTATGATAACCAAGGGGCGTGAAGAATAATCACACATGACAAGTTGTAAAAGAGGGGGAAAAATAGTTTATTATCAGTGTTTACCTGTATCAAAATATTTCCATAAGGGCATGAAATGTGTGTTTTTTTCAGTCCGGATCCTTGGCACATCTTGAATGCAGAGAGAATTTTTTATTCAGGACTCCATATAGACAGGAGACCTTGTGAGCGCCATCTGCAATCTGTCACCATCGTCACAGCACTTCTCTGATAATCTAAATTTACAGTAAACTGTCAGCATGATGTATTTTGGTTAAATAGACCTTCACTTCACAGTATATGCTCTGAAAGCGAACACCCCGCCATGGCTGTTAGCTTATTTTGTACCAAAGTAAAATCTTAACACGAGCCTGTAACGGTTTCTGTGCGCGTCAAGGAGGAAAAATGGTTCATGGATTTTGTGGAAAATTGGTGATAAAGTGTGAGATGGCTTGATATAGTTACCAAATGCTGCATTTTAGCCCACTGGTCAGTTGGATGATTATTAGTTTGCTGTATTTTTGGGATGGCGTTGATATTTCCAGGAGCTTTTGCATTCAGCAGAGGCCTGCAAGAGATAACCAGGACTTAACAAACAAACAAACAAAAAAACACTTCTTTTATCACAGTGAATTAGACTCTGGAGCTTTAATGATGATTTTTAATACCGTTGTTCACAGCTCAATATCAAGAAATACATATATGTAATTTATGGCAACAAGTAGAATGGCGCGTAAAACAGCCACCTTCATTCACACGTGGATAACTTACAGTAAGTGGATAATAGCCCAGCTGACCTGGCCCATATTTATACAGGACCTATATATAATAGAATGGCAGCAGACTGTAAATTTAGATATCATGTGAAGTCGTCTTACCCGCTGACATTATGTTGACATATTGCCTCTCAGGTGGTCTCTTGGCCATACGGATACAGTGGATCTTTGGCGCAAAGTACATCAGCTGCCATTTACAATGAGTTAGGTGCAGAAAAGCCTCTAAGATACACAAGGTAGCAGCTCGAGTGCGCTAATAAGAGAAGAATGGCAACTGTTTGAAGAGCAAAAACTCAGGCCTGAGTGGTTTCAGTCGTCATATCCAAAATCTAGAAGTGCACTGATGGAGATAAGCAAAGTGAAAAATAGATTTCATCAGTGAATCAGCCCATCTGCAGCAGATCTTTGTCGTTTTGGGGGTCCCTCTTTTTCCACAGATGCACATTTTTGTCTCATAGCCGTAGTTCGACGTGTGAGCTTCTTAAATAGTTGTAGGTCTTTTTGGACATTTTAAAAAGAAAAAAAAAATCCTTTGGGGACCTTCCAGGGGAGCTGACCCTCCCTAAGTGCTGCTCCCCCCACCTTCAAAATCTCCCCAGAGCTGAACAGAGCCTACAAAACTGAAGTCCAAGTCCGGGGTGAACCCCAGGTCACTGCGTCTAACAGATATGAAAATGTCGCCTCTTTGGAAAAAAAAAAGGGCACGCCTTGTTGTTTAACAAAGACTGTCAATGGGAAAGATTAATCAGAAACAAAATGGAAACGGTGTCACTTTGGGGTCAGGCAGAAGTTATCTCTGTTTAGGGGAGCGAATAGAATAGAGAGGGGGGACCAGGGAAGAAAAAAGGAAAGAAAAGAAAGCTTTCAATATTTCCGAAGTTTGGCCTCTTGTTTCTCCATGCAGAGGCCTTGTTGACGTGGACAGTGTGGATGAGCTTTGTGAAGAGCTGCTGCATCCTAAAGGGACACAGATACAGTGTGGCATCTCGGACATGGAGAGGAAACAGGAGCTGGACGTGACGGCTGATGAGCACGGTCAGACACTGCTATATTCTCTTTACCTTATAAACATGTAGTTTGCAAAAATATATATTAGATTTTTTTTGAAAAATTATATGTAGGGTTTTTCTAAAGGATGATCCTTAATTTGTGTCATTTATTTTCTTAGGCTAATGGCAGTATTATTATTATTATTATTATTATTATTATTATTATTATTATTATTATTATTATTATTATTATTACGCCTTATTTCCAAATCATACTTTCATCGTGGCAGTTTGTGACCATGTGGTATTGTAGCACAGGAGTGTTAAACAATATCATAGGTCTGTATTTAAATGTTGGCAAAATGTTTGTGACAAAGGTTTTTATATATTTCCGGATTTTTAAGAATTTTAAAAAACTACTTGTGTGTCAGATCTGAGGTCATTCCTGCTGCATGAACTCAGTCAGGCTGACACTTCTTACTGTAAATGTTTGTGCTCGTATAAAATCCCACGCCTTGTTTTGGCATCTGGCTGCAAAACAAGACAGGTGTGTTTTCAAGTGTTTGTCCAGTGTTTTGAACGGGCTTTTCAATACCAGGTAACACCAGAGAGCTGTTAATACACGCAGTGCATGCTGACAGCACTAAAGAGGTTTAATGTGGACAAACAGAGAACAGAAATAGCTTCAAATCGCTGCCATGTCCTGGCAAGGCAAGAAAAAAGGCGTTTTTTAAAGAATATTTCTAGCAGTGAAATAAGGCAAAAACAGGCACATCTGTGCAACCAAAGGAGTGTGTGTTTTCTGCAGTTCATGTGCGTTTATCATTCAGGTTTTATACACACTCTGGCTTCACATGCAGGCTTGGGTGTCCGCAGAGAAGCGGCTCGCCAGGAGCCTTGTGCACTCATTCTATTTTCGATCATTTGAATAGGCAAATTTTTCAACACTGCAATATGTGTTGTTGTGTTTATATTGTTGCCATGTCTGCCTCTTTATTAAAATGCAACAGATTTTGAAGTCCAGCAAGCAGCATTTATGATTCTGAGACGTGGTGTTTTGTTTGTGGACAGCCTGGATTTTCTCAGGGCTTCAGATTTTTATCTGTGTTTGAGAGGAGATGGACTGTTTCTCTTGCTGGAGAGCCTCACCCACATAACTTTGGCAGTAAACAAGTTAGTTGATTGGTTTTGCTTTATATACTGTGATTTAATAAGGAAAACACCAACGTAAGCCAGTCCGAGCAGCGTCGGTGGTACCAGTGCCATGCTTTCCATTGGTTCCTGTTTACATGATGCCCACAGGACACGCGGTGATTGGTGGCTCCTCACACGTGACCAGGCAACTTTGTACATTTGACAGGGAGTAGGAGGGTTTTGTGGAGATCAGAAAAACGACAGCGCGATAAAAATTAGTATTGTTGCACTTCACAAATTAATGACCATGAGTTCCTACTTGATAAACTCCAACTATATCGAGCCTTCCTTTCCTCCATGCGACGAATATCAGCAGAGCGGATACATCCCCAACCCTGGAGATTACTACGAGCGGCCAAAAGATACGGGCTTCCCCCATCACGACGAACCATCCTATCCGAGGTCAAACTACACAGAATCGGGATACGATTACGGTAACGTCCCCGCCGCCGGACTCGACGATTTCAGCGACGGGCATCACGCACAGCCGCAGCCGGTTCCACAAAGCCACGGTCCTCGCCTCACCGCGGCCCCAGACGGTGGCGCAGGGGCAAATGCCAGCAAAGACTGCAGCCTCGCCGGTGAGGTATATCCCGGCGTAGCGAAGGGCAAGGAACCGGTGGTCTATCCTTGGATGAAAAAGGTCCACGTTAGCACCGGTGAGTTATCGTCACGGTTAAATAGCAGAACCACTGAGAAACAACCACTGGAACACACGCAAGCCTATTGAGGCAGCACTAGTAGCAGCCCTTACAACAGCAATTTACGACTATCGAGCAGCAGGGTCGGTAATTAAGGACCCTCGTAAATTTTATTGCCTGTGTTCATCTGTCGGGGCCATGTGCCTTTGTTGCTTTTTAACCCAAACTACCTCCACCACTGGAGCCAAGCCAAACTGTAATATTCAACCCCGCTGTTTTGTTAATCATTTCTAAGCTTGATCTGTCCCTGGATGCGAGTGCTTGTACACTCGGCATCTCCACATTAAGGTCATGTCCGTAACTGAAACAAGACAGAGTAAAGCAAACAAAGCGGTTGCAATTTCCCCCACCAAACCCAGAATTCGTTTCTAATTTTCCACCCTGGTAATGTGTCCAGTGGCGGAACTAAGGGTTTGGAAATAAACGCTATCAACCTGCTTGTAACACCTGCTTGCTTGCCTGTGTATGGCTTTTTTTTTTTTTTTTTCTTCTCCCAGTCAATGCCAGTTACACTGGAGGAGTGCCCAAGAGGTCCCGCACTGCCTACACCCGCCAGCAGGCTCTGGAGCTGGAGAAGGAGTTTCACTTCAACCGGTACCTGACCCGGCGCAGGCGGGTGGAGATTGCGCACACCATGTGCCTGTCCGAGCGCCAGGTCAAGATCTGGTTTCAGAACCGGAGGATGAAGTGGAAAAAGGAGCACAAGCTGCCCAACACCAAGATCCGCTCCTCCACCTCGGCCTCGTCCTCAACCTCGGGGGCCCAGCAGCAGCAGCAGCAGATCAAAACAGGCCAGCAGCTCGTCCCCACGCCGTGCACCGCAGGTCTATAGTGCATGAACGAACCCCCACCACCCTCCCCCAAAAAACCCAATCCAGACTGAGATGGCAAATAACACAAGTGGAATTTGATGGACCGATTCTCAGTATTTTACACACATGGTGTTATCTTTCACCTTGCCTCTGCCATTGGGCCCCTGTCACGTCCTTTGTGCCCTTTCCCTCTCCGGTCGCCCTCTTCATATAAGCTTGAAATTCACCTTTAATTGCCACGGTGGCAACTGAAGTGTTTATATATTTGTTTATTATTATGAAAGAAGGATAACGCACATTCAAACGTAGGACTTGGAGCAAAATGTATCATTGCAGTTAAAATTGAGTGAGGTGAAAGTAAGTTTGAACTCATTTTTTTTTCTATGTTCTCTTTGATTATTGTTTTTTTTTTTTCTATTATTGCTCATGGAAAGTTCTAATATACTTGAAAGATATTTAGCGAGACTCTATAGATGCCTGATAGAAAACCAGACGGCTGTGTTAGAGATATGGCATCAGTTAGAGTAGCAGTATAGTTTGTGTGTTTGAGTGGGTTGGTTCACTGTTGAATGTAGTCCAGGTGACTTTCACATCTAATGTACATAGACAAATCATAACGAAGGCACAATAAGGAAAGCGTTTCGTCGAGTAAGATTCTGTTCGTTGGTGTTGTACGGTCTAGTTTTATTTGTGCTAGTGCGTCCTATGTTGTGCTGTGTTCTAAACTGTGAATATTTGTATGTGTTGTCTCAGTAATGATCGTTGTGATGTAGGTTAGTGTAGGATAAACCTGTCCTTGTGAAATAAATATGTACTTCACTTATAAGGCTGACATGGCTTCGGATGTTTTGTCACCGCAAGTATCGATTTCTCTTCAGCGCAACATGTATTTTTTAAAAAGCCGCTTCTATTAACACGTATTTAGGCGCCAATTTTTTATGTTTTGAATTCTAATTTTAGAGATTACAGTTTCATATTTTAACATTTAAACGTGCACAGCGTGTGTTTACATAAATATTTTCATTTAGAACTTTTTAAGTCACTCATCCAGTGATTGGAAATGCGTGCGTAAAATGTTATAGCGTGTTGGAGGATTTAATAATTTAATATGCCACACGGTGAAAACATTGTGGGTGCTTTTATTTAACACTTTTTTTTTATTTACCTGAATATAATAAAAATCTATTTGCTTCATTTCGTGGTATTTACGCAGAGGTTTAACTTGATAATCAGTGCGCAATCTTGTGCACTGCATCTAAAGTGAGATTTATAGAGAGAGAGGGAAAAAAAATCCTGGTTATGAATGTGTGTAATATGTTCAGAGTTAAGCCTCTTCTAAGGAATGCATTACCATGTTCGCACTTGGACAAAAGCGTGTAGCTTTGCCTGAGTCTGTTATGTCTTTCATTGCTCAACTATTTCTAATGCGTAAAATGTGCATGAATGTCATGCGCATTTTCGTGGATTAAGATGAGATGCGGCAGAAATATATGAGGCAGGTATCAGCTGTTGGCTTTAAAGCTGTTCAGGCTTTACTGACACGGGAATAAGAGCAGACCCAAATTGTTAAATGTATCCGGCCACACATATTGTTCTCACTTGCCATTACGAGGAGATCTCAGCCAAGCTCAGTGCACCAGAGTGTGAGTGTTGGTCACTACCTGCTACATCCAAACAATAGAGAGTTCAACTCGAGGACACGGCCGGCACTGGCCAATCACCGGCTCGCAGCACTTCTTCTGACCCCTGACCTTTCGACACACACAGTGTTCAGATCATACATCAGCGCTGAGACCTCCGCGAGCTTTTTCTTCCCATTTAAGATTTACCCAGAGACGGCACGGAAACAAAAACGGTGTTTAAGTGTGAATGTGAGCCATGAATTTTCCCAAAATTATTCTAAGAGACAGCTCTCCTGCAAATCATCACAGAAGCACCCCTGCCAGGCCGCGTAGAAATTGTAGATATGAGCAGAAAAATGTTGATAAAACAGACATTATTTACTTCAATTTTCTACACATGTTGACCCTGATATGTATAGTTCAATGATTATGTCAATATTTGCACAAGGGATTGCGTTCATAAAAAAAATCCTCAAGTAAAACCGACAGTGACAGACACGCGTAAAGTAGATTTATGTACATTTCAGAAGCAGCTTTCCACCTTTGCTGTAGTTTTGTCCTCTGTTACCAAATACTTTTACCTGCATGAGGAAAATGTTTTAAATAAGTGGATACATTTGCTGCAAAAAAAATGTAAAAGTTCCCCAGCACTGTGCAGCAGTTTCCCGAGGACATTGAAGCTGTGGCAGAAGATGGCACTGAGGCTGATTGGCACCGATTTTGCGCAGACTCCAAGAAGTCCAACTATAGTTAAATTATAGATATCAAGTCATTTGATTCGCGAATAGAGGTCGCTTCCAATGTACTGAAATTTTAATTCGCCCATTCACGTGACTTGTTGAATAATGAATGCCCCGGGGTCAGAAATAGATCTGAAAATCTGACTTATTTTCATTTGAAGTGATTCTCTGCAGCGTGCGAGTCAGATCTCCTCTCCTCTGACAAAACTCTGTCCGCTGGAAACAGACCGTCATGACTTGTGAGTAGATTTGGATGATTTTTATATTAGCTTTTTAAAAATGATTTTTATTTTATAGCTGCTTTAAAAAAAGATTGTTTCATAATATTGTAGTGTATGTTCATCTGCTCTATGTTTTTTTTCTATACATTCCTGTCTTGTGTTTCCAATATTGCATTTTTTTTTAAAAATTATAAAACTCATCATAGTTGTAAAAAAATAAAATAAATCAGTCTCAAAAATCTCACTATGCTTTTCAAGCATTGCAGTTGGTTTAAAATTACATTTGTTGCCTAATATAGGTCCATGCATTTTGTGCTGAAACAGAGTATTAGATGAATGTATCCTGTAGGACCTCGAAGTAAATCTAATTCAAGACAACAGGTCAAACTTTTCTAGACAAGAATGTACATTCATGCTGCACTTTGCTATTAAAAACCTAATTAGATTAAATAGTTAATCTTTTTTTTTTTTTTTTAATGAAATAATACACAGATAGCAGAAATGTAACGCAGGTGTAGCTGCAAAATGTGCTGGTTTAATACAAAGTTATATGATAAGATAAACAGTCTGCCTTTATGTTGGAAGGGTTCAGCTCCTCAAGCAAGCATGAAAGAGTTATCAGGTGTTTCCATGAATTCTACCAGTGAATGTTGGGGACCTAAAAGCTTGACTCAATGTCTTATTTTCAAATTCTAATGTAAAAGTGGCAAAAGAATGTAGTGATACGGGATAACAATGTAGCTGCTGCTTCAACACAGAATAAAAGTGAACACAGCTGTCAGTTTAGACAGACAAACACGAACAAAGTCCTACAATACTTGATAGTATTTAGGATTATTATTATAAGTATTATTACTATCTTCAGTATTAGTAGTAGTGGCAGTACCCTATTCTGCACTTAAACATTGCCCCAAGTTTTTACAGAATTTACCAGCTATCGCACAAAAACCCAAACTCCTCATTTTCAGTCATAATAAACAGACAGTTCCACATGAAAATTTAAAATTGCTTTATTACAACCACCTTCAAGCAAACAATTCCTCTGTCCGTCACAGTGTTGCTCTGGGTTCATTAGGCCTACAGAGACGGTCTCCACTCAGCTTAAGGCGTTGAATTTCGCATTAGCCTTGATATTGGCTGGTGTAAACCTCGCAGAAAGAGTTATCTTCGGCTGAGAGTATCGGTAACCCAAGCCTGGCTGTTAAGAGCTCCCAGTGTCAACATTGTGGGAAGATATGGACCGCCGTCTGGCCAACATCCAGAGGTCTGCGCCTCTAACTCCTCTCCGCTGACAGTGATAAGGAGCTCTGATTTGCGTAAACACCTCTGAAACATTCGTTTTACGCTAAAACAGTCGAGATGTTCAACATAATCAATCAGCTTTTGTTAAGAGGGCAAGAAAATAGTGCACCAAAAAGTGTGGACAAATAAAGTGGGCTACCAGCTGAGGGTTTCCATCTTCTCCTTGTTTTGAACCCCAAATAACTTCCCACTCAACTCTCCATGCCTCTGCCCGGGTCAGGGAAAAGTTCAGGTGCGGTGGCGAAAGGCAACGTGGGGATTATCTTCCAGTGCGCAGTCATGTCGAGCCATGTAATCCTGCTGACAGCTCCACAACTGCAGAAGAAGAAAAATAACAGATTACAGACGCAAACATTTGACAAAACAGGAGTAGTTTTCTTTTCACAATCGCGCGTCTAAAAGCTCCAAAACGCTCAAGCTTAACCCTCATTACTCTTCCTCTCATCTCCCGGCTTAGATTTATTGAATGTGAATTAATAAGAGCGGCTCTGCCTCTGCTCCTGTCTTTAAAAGTTTACCACTCAAGTTGTAGTTTGAGAAGACAAAGGCTCATGTGGGAGTGGGACGCTGTCTCTGTCCGCCCCGAATGATAAATAGCTGTGGTGGGATTTTTCCACGCCCGCTGCTCGGTGTTGACGGAAAACAAGCGCCAAACGGTGCCGAGAAGAGAGAAGCTCTTCCGGGCTACGACTTTTGGCAAAAACCTGCAGGGTTAGATAGAAGCCAGATATTTTTCCATGGCGCGCGTGGCACACTCTTTAAGCAGTAATTTGTTTGTATTCAGGCAGATCTGGCAAACTAAAAGCTCCAAAGAAGAAGAAAAAGAAAAGAAACCCTCTTTATGTTCACCAGCCTGTAATTTCTAGCGTCACTCAGCTGGTCATAGGAAACGCATAAGTGCATGTAGGTCTAATGGGGGTCCATGTAGTGATCAGCGGGGTCGAGCAGCCACACTTTGGTCACCTCGCCTCCACTTTCCGCTCACTGCTGACTGACAGGCTCCCCTCGCGACCACCGGGACGCACAGCCTCCTTGTGTAGGACAGGTAAACGTGTAAGCTTTTGTTTTTATTTACCCACCAGCATGCAGACTTTGGTGATGGAGGACCAGAGGCTGACTAAGTGGTACTGAAGCACAAGTCTGACAATGGGGACGGGGGGCGATGTTGAGTTGGGTTTTCTGTACAGCCCTGACTGTCTCGTGAAGAGAACGGGAGAAGCTGGAATGATGAGTAATCATTAAGCCGCCCTTTAATGGTATTTTGTGAGCAAAGCTTTCTCCATCTCACATAGTGCGAATTATCACGCTGCAGTGCAAACATTCTGGTTGCAGCGCGGCTCAGGGCTGCGTCCGCACTTGAAACTCAGCATAATAGAGCAGGATTAGCTCTTTGAGCCGCTAACAGGCACCAAATATATGGCACTTTAAAACTGACAGAGCAGCCTTTTCCCTCTGAATGGGCGACACGTGGAAAAAGCTGCTTCTCTGTGAGAGGCTCGCTCCTCTGCCAGATACATTGCAGTGTCACATACCCCTCTTTTTTCTCCCTCCAAACTGATCCGTTTCTCCTCAGGGGCAATGACTGCCTCCATTAATGATTCACGGGCTCAAATAAAAGGGATTTAAGTTGACGTTGCGTCACGTGAGCGGGGCGCATAATACTGCGCGGTGTTATGGCACTGGGAAGAAAACCGGAGCCCCGGTCTGGCCATATGATGCAGATTATATGCGGGTTACCCCCACTTTCCGTGAGGGGAGTCCTGGCTTTGTAGTTTTGTTTATCGAGGGGAGAAAAAGAAAGTAGACTGACAGAGACAGGACCCCGGGTCTGTGGATGTATTCTGCTGTCACGGACGGATATGTTTTTCCACGCGGACAGAGTCAGAGCCCGAGCTTTGGGAGGATGGATTTTATTTTGAGGTATTTCCTCCGATTGTTCATTACGGTCGTGAGTTATTGCTGCGCGAGGCAGAGGTCAGTAAAACGGGTCCAGGGTTTTTGCAGGGCGAGAAAATAGACACATATCAAGAAGCTATCGATATTCACCACATCTGTTAATATCTCAGATTCGTCATAGTTATCCAAGCGAAACATAATCACACCTAAATGATTTATAAACATTCTATAAAGATAGCCATTTCAGAATTTGTTTGAGCCATTAAGACTGAGGCATTGTTCCATTTACTGCTTCCTAGACCAACATTGTAATAAATCCGTCATTAATTCCAGTGGAAACTTAGAATAGAGGAGGAGAAAATGAAATATTTCTTCTTAAATTGCATCTTTAACAACGTGCCATTTGGATAAATAGGCCAGCGTTGCCGTTTGTAAATAAAGCAGCCATTTAAATACCGGCTTGGAAGAAGAAGAAAAAAAACCCAAACAGAGCGCACGGGGCTCCAAGGTGCAACTTGTCCTATAAAACAAAACATCTCGTGTCTTTACGTGTTTTTATTTTGTATTTTTTTTTCGTGCGTAAATGATACATCAAGATGAGCTCCATAAAAAGTAGGGGAAAGCGGTGGGGTTGTGTCGCTCCGCCAGGGAAACGAGGATATAATGGAAGACGGAGTGCCATCCAGGACCGTGCGGCCGCGCTGAGGTCACGGCGCTGCTGCTTGATTTATGGGCGCGGGGACTTGGGGAAGATGGTGCGAGAGAGCTAATGACTATTCGATCCGTTTGTGGAGGAAAATGCTCACAGGCCAGCAGGGAAACAACAAACACGTTATTTGCATAGGGCAATTTTTATGTTATTAGCGATATCATGTTGATACGCAGCGATATTTGTTTTGCAAAACGGCTTTTGTCGAATAAGAATCCACAATGCATCATTTATTTATGCATTTTATTTATTATCTGTGTATATATTTTGTTAGTCTTGTTTTATCTAAAGATCCGTACATTTTGGTTGATATTTTTGCCTTAAAAAAATGTTTAAAGTCATTGAGATTTCATGGTTCATTGAAGCTGTGAAGATACTCATTCTTTAATATCGACTTGAGTGCATGTGTGTCTAAATTTAAATCCCCCAAAAATATCTTCAAGAAGGTTACATAGAATTTTACAAGATGTGTTTATTTACCAGACGGTTCTTTTGCGCATTTTTAAAACACGGGCCTAAACATTTACGCATAATAACAAAGGTCTTATCACATCCTGTATATTTAAATTTTGCTCCCATGTCTTGAACTCTGGACTTAAAATAAAAAAATCACTCAAGTAGAATTTACAGAACACGTTCAAATGTTGGATTATCCTCCGAGAAATTGAAAATACTTATTCCCCTCCTCGTTGCAGAAATCCATTCCAGTAAACTCAGGCCAGCGTACGGTCTCGGAGACACCTTGAACTGCCTTCGGTAAGTCCATATATCTTTATTGATTTGTGTTATGAATGCTTGATGGTGATATCCTTATTCAATTTCTAATAAGTACCACACACGCCCACCAAAGCACTGGCAGGAATAGAGAAGCAGCCTATGGCTTGTACGTTTCCTTGTAGCAGCAATACGAGCAGCCCGAGAGCAATAATTCCTTCTCTTCCACTTGTCTTTGTGGTGTAATTTGTCACTATAAAAGTGACGAGGGGAATCGCAGCACTTGGAGCGGTGCCTTACTCATTTCAAAAACTACTTTCTGTGAAAGCCATCTGCTTGTAGCTGCTATAGTTTGTTGCACTGAAGTTTTTAAAATGTTTTTTTTCCTTTATCAACATTTTAGTTTTTTTTTCTCTCCCACGTTGTTTTGCGCCTTATTACGCACGGCAGTATGCAATGACTTTTAACCCTCTCCTCAGGGCCAAATTAAAGAGAAAGACGAATCAGCATTTCAGCAAAACACAAAGAAGTAAATAATTAAACAAAGTGGCTACTTTGGTTCGTGAAAGAAAAAAGCAGAGTTAGCGAAAAAAAAACATCCACACGCGTGAATTCTTGTCCCACTCAACCTCCCACGCCGTCCGTGTGTTCTACCTTTTTAATTGTGTCATTTGAATTTTGTCCCAGAGCCTGAAACCAGCAGAGAAGCTGCAGCTCCGGACGTGTTTACGGCCTGGGGAAGCTGAGAGGAACATAAATCTATTTTTTTTTCTTCCCTCAGTCTTTCTTTTTGGCTGCAAAAGACAGCATTACCACGCAGAGGGATTCCCCCTGCTGCCGGCTCTCTTCTCCCCTGTTCCTCGCTGCATGTCCTCCGATTTGCCTTTTGGTGATGAAACTTCTGCCCATTTTTCACACCCTGTTCCTGGAGGGGTTCTCCGATGATGTATAAATATATCGAACACAGCTTTGATCTGCAGTTGTGGTTTCTAATCCTAAAGAATATGTATAATTCTATATTCTTCATGCCAGAAGCCTTGCAGGGAATATCTGGCGAAGAAATGAGAACGTATTCTTGCGTCCTTGTGCCAAAAACACTGAATCATATGCAAAAATGCGGGTTAATGATTAAGCCGCGGATAGAAGCCCTTTATGTCCCATGGAAATGGAAATGCAGCATGGTCAGCGCCTGATTATTCCTTTGTATTCTTCGTCTCTCTCCAACATCTCAGCCGCTGGGCTCATAATTCCACTACAGGGCGCGGAGTAAATAATAACAAAAAGATTTAAAACACTTTAGGGATGGACTCTGTCATTTGTAACGTTGTATTATTATTTTTTTTCCTAGACGCACTACCTCATTTGGTTGGGGGAGGAGGAGAGGCAACCACTTGATTTGAACTGGCTTTCCAAGGCGCTACTTCATTTGCATAATTTTTCTTGTCTATGGTGACGCTCTGGTTCGGGGCAGTTCACTGGTGACTGCATGGTACTGGTGAAGGATCACATAGTCCAGCATAGCCTTGGCTGAGTTTAATATTGCTATGAAGCCCTGGCCATTGCTCTATAGCATGACGATAAATTCAATCTTGGGGCCAGATAACTCTTATCTCGCTGACCCGACTGCTCACGCCTGCTTTCGTAATCTCGGTTTACCCATCCACGTCGAGTAGAAGAAAAGGAAAAGGAAAAAAGGAAAGGGGCTTCTCTCGGCTCTTCCCTTTTTGTTGTGGCTGCTAATGCCTGGTGTATGGCAGGGCGCAGTCTCCTACTGCTGCTTCTCCCAGTCAGCCCTACCTTTAAACTTTTCTCTGGATTACTGCTTTGATCGATTTCGTCGCTGAATGAGAAAATATTGCTTGGTGCTCTGCATTCGTCGTAAGAGGATAAGGTAAGCAGGCCAGAAATAGGCTCCCTCGGTTGTAAATGGCGGAGTTTGTGTGTCGCGCGGTGATTTATCACCGTATGACTTAGATCTCGGTTCAGGAAGAGTTCACACACAGTCAGGCAGCCCAGATTTCTCTAGCGTGGAGCAGAGGGCTGCGCACAGAGCTCAAGTCTGTCTTTTGTCTCTCGTTCTCTGCATTTATGACTATCGCAGTGGCTCGCCTGGAGATACACACCACAAAGCTTTCTGGTATCTTTTCCAGGTCATCATGAGTGCACGTATATCGAAGACACCTTCTTTCAGCCTGCGGTTTTAGCTGCGTTTAAGGACATGCTGAGGGCTCGTTTTATACTGATTTTCTTCTTGTTATGCACGGCTGCACAAACCCACAGTTGCTCGATATATTCGTTTTCTTTGTGCTCAGTTTACGAAAATGCATCCTAGTTGTATACCTGTTTGTGGACTATGGTGTATCTATACAATATAAAATAAACAAGTTCTATTTTTGTTGCAGCTTGCAGGAATAAAAGTGATATTTTTGGGGTCACATTTACTATCAGACAGCAGGGCCTATTATTTTAAGCGGTTACAATCTTAATGGGCTTGCATGCAATATTTTGATTGTATTTATTTTATTTTTATTCAGTGTTTTTATTTGTTGCCCTGATTAGGACGATGGACATTTTTCAACCCAATCTAAAGTGCAGACAAACGAAATCATGCATGATTTGAAAATGGATAGAGAAAGGTTCAATTTTACTTCTATTGAAAAATTCTAGATTTGATTAGAAGAAATTATCATTATTAATATTATTATTATTACTATTAATATTATTTGTAGTAGTAATAGCGGTTTAAACTGCATTTTGGGATTTTTTTAAACATGGCGAATCCAATGCGCCACTATTTCATTAGTAATGTCATATTATAAAATATTTCCTTAAACTGACCTGTGGATCTGTGTCTCCTATGGTTTTTAGTTTCCCAGTAATCCCCCTGGTTACCTGCATGAATTATGGTGCTCTAGCAGCAGGCTCTAGCTGTGCCATCCGCGGGTTTCTGTCCGCCTGAGTACCGGGCTTAGTCGTTCACCGGGCCGCTCATTCCGAGCAGCCAGTCCCGGCCCACTGACCCCCCATATATCACCGCGACGGGCCGCCGTGCAGACAGCACCGACAGCAGCCATTATTATGGGCCTGCAAGGAAAGGTTCACACCATGGTCATGGAGATGCACGGATGCCCGCCCGGTTTTTCAGGTTTCCTCGGGGCCCTTCCATTTATCTTGCAGCATGCAAGGAAAGAAAGAAAGAAAGAAAAAAAGAAAGAGAGAGAGAGAATGCGGTTGTTTATGTTTTGCGCCAGGTGGCCGGGGAAGCACACTGAAGTTTATCCTGTTAAGTGAACGAGATTTTTTTTTTTTCTCTAATAGTGAAAAACAAAAAAAAAATGGGTTAAAAGTTTTGGGGCCACACTGAATGTTTTCACCTGCTGCTCAGGAAATTAGATATAGTGTTGACAGCCCTGTTGGTGGAATAACATTGTAACAGAAATATTATTTTCCTGTGTGGTAACCCACTAACAAGCTATTTCCACAGGACGCTCTTTGCCTACAGCATTCTCTCTATAAGTTGCACTGTAACTATATTCGGTTTCATTGTAAATCAGCTCAAAGATTTAAAATGTCACGCAGTTTCTTGTTAGGTTTCAAAATGATTTGGCACCCTGAAACGCTTTTGAAAAGATTTTTTTTTCCATGTTGTTTGGCACAGATGGTAATACAAGGTTAGTGCGTGCCTTTGTGCCCTGTGTAAGCCATAAGGTAAACGGTAATAGTCTACAGAATTGTTGGCCCTATCTTGCCTCCATAGTCTCTAGTGTCAGGTCTGTATTGAAAAGTAAGATGGATCGCCACCATTTCTTCTCCTCACAGTGCTTCTTGTAACCCTAGGTTCACCCAAGGAGGCCATTGGCGGAGAGGCGTCACGTGACCACGGGGTGCCAATGTTATTCTACAAGGGTGTCAAGACCCTGTCAGTTTCTGAAATAAATATTGGGAAACGGCGAGATGCAAAAGGCAACCTACTACGACAGCTCCGCAATTTACAGTGGCTACCCATATCAAAGCGCAAATGGCTTCAGTTATGATGCCAATCAGGTCCAATATCCCCGGGCCTCTCATGTGGAAAGTGAGTACCATCGACCTGCCTGCTCCCTGCAGTCTCCTGACGGCTCCGTGGCTCTGCAGAAGCCGGGGGAGATGGCGGAGAGCTGCGACAGGACCACAGCCATTCAGGCGGCGCAGTCCAAGGTTCATCCCGAAAGCAATCAACCACAGGTGCCGGTGTCAGGCCCACCCCCTCCCTCACAATCCCCCGGTGCTATCAGCCAAAACACAAGCAACGGGTCCAGCCAGCCCAGTGCCAAGAACGGCTCCCCGACCTCCAGTGCTCGCGGCAAACAGATCTTCCCCTGGATGAAGGAATCCCGTCAGAACACCAAGCAGAAACCAACCAGTAGCTCCAGTTCAGGTACTAACAACCTAAACGCTGCTGCTGCTGACACACACAAAACTTGATAGCCTCTGACCAGCAAGCTACATGAGTTTGGCTGAGGGAGGATACAGTAAACATGGGGTGCGGGTGGGTGGGGTGGACAGGTAAAGGGTTAAGAGGAAGGGGCAGGCAAACCACAACCGGACAATACTTTTCCTGGGAAGGTTGCAAAAGTTCAGTTTTCTGGGCTGATGTCAAAGATGTGTTAGTTTTACTCCATCATTTTAAGTCACTTCTTTGTAGTATATATTACATTGCATTATACCTGCATTGCTCCCTAAAGTTATTCAGGAACACCAGCCAAGAATGACTACAGTGTAATCAACAACTCCCTCAAAACAACAAAGACACAAGTGTAGCATTTACTGAATCCACATCCTGTAAGGATTGGGTCACGTTGTCTTGCAAATTCCTTAAAACCTTATATACTGTACAAGTAGTATAAGGTAGTAGACTGTGTGCCACATTACAAGTAGATCCCACCATTTGTCGTCCCTGTGCCCTGCGGCTGACCTGTCCCTACTGTAAACACACATCTCCACTGATCACATAATGTTCCCGGAGAGACAACAAACAAACACACACAACAGTTGTTTCAGTTTGTCCTGCTGTTTTGATTAGAGGAAAACTTTGGGAGGGGGGCCGGACAGGGGGTATTTACTTAAAGCTAACCGAAATCTAGAAATGCTCATCTTCCCATGACCTAAATTCTGTAGGCATTTCAATAAGGGTTCAGGTTATATTCCATTGCAGGAAAAAATAATGATAAAAAAGTAGTGTGCCTTGATGTTCGAGAAGGTCCGTTTTAACAACTAGTCAAAGCGGAAAACATGAAGGCACGTTTTACGCACACAAAGACACAAGTCAGATCTTGCTGTTTAGATGGGAGGAAAACTTGGTGGGTCTTTTTTGTAAATCAAGTCATTTTAATCCAAATAGGGAGTCTCCAAAAGTAGCTGTTGAAAATACAAGTAAATATAATGCTTTACGTGTATTCTATTTTTGTTTATGTTTAGAAAAGGTTTTCCCCTTTTTTTCCAGTTAAGGAAACCCCTTTACGCACATTTTACGCATATATGCAAACCTAATCTGACTGTTTTATTGGAGAACAACGTGGCGACCCGGGATCTGGGTTTGGGGTATTTCCTTGCATATGAATAAAGAAAAAGTTCAGAGATGATCATCTTTCTTTAACATTCATATATCTTTCAAATTTTGGTGTGTAGTTTTCTACTCAAGTTAACTTGTCGTCTTTAGTAAACGTTGAATATGAAAAGCAGTATTGCAGCCTTCATTGTGATATATGTGAGTTAGCTGTTTTCATCAGGGTTTAGCTTATGTGTAGCAACCCCATCAAAGTACTAAGATTTATGAAAAACTCTTTTATGCACGTTTTACGCAAGAAAGGATCCAGATCCTGCTTTGACTCGAGGTAAACTCTGTGGGTCGGCGTTGTGTTTTGGAGCGTTTACACAGAGCAAGTCGAAATATTCAGAAACGTTCGTCTTTGCTTGGACCTCTTATTGCAATCAATTGGTTGTTTCTAATTAGGTTTTAGGTCGTTTGTAGTGAGTGTTAAAATGCAAAGCAGTGCGGGTTCAATGTGTATTATGCTTGAGAAGGTGTTTTGATTAGTTTGAATAATACGTGGAGGTGCTAACATTTATTAAACGTCTTTTACGCACGTTTTACGCACGTACGCACGCCACACTCGCGTATGTTTTGCAACTCGTGCCTTATATGAATCAAGCCAACTAGGCTTTTAAAAAATTGATTAATAAATAATCATTGTGTTTTCACATGATTGCCCTACGTACATTCAGTATGATGCACGTGATAACCTCTTTCATCTGTGCAATAACATAATGGGTCAGGTTATGTCATGTTGCATTCCTTTTACTCCAGGTTTGGGCGACAGGTAGTGAAATTTATTAAGTGTTGGCCGCCTGCCACAACGGTAAGTAGACCAACACCTTGCTATTCTGCAGCCAAGCTCCAGCCTCTTAAGCTTATCAGTAAGGGCAAGGCGAGCTGTTTTATACACCCCGAGGAATACATAATGCTTGTGTTTGCATTATGCGTGTGCCACTGTGTGACTATGGGGGGAGAAGAGGGTCAGAATGTTTTAGTAGGAAATCTGAGGTTACCTGGTTTCATATCAGATACTGACCTACTATTCTGCACTTACATTTCTTGTTTTGCAGTTAGTGTAGCGTGCACAGGCAACATCTCTACACATTGATTGTTAATTGTCTTATGGAGCCCTGATGATAACCCCTGTGCTGCACAGGAGGGAGCAAATTTATCAAAATGTTGAGATGTTTGTAACACACACGTACGTTAAGGGGGAGGAGGAAGAGGCGATGATTAACACCCTGTATTTAAATGGCCATATTTATCTAGTAAACTGTTTCATCACCACCAACGCCCCCTCCTGATCGTGGAGAGTTTCACTATCAGCTGTATGTGCGTGTATTGTAACACGAGTTAACTTTCACTCTCCTGTCTTTGCCTCTCTACCTCTTGCTGTGTGTGCCTGTAATGGATTACTGATTGACATCCTCCTCTCCTTCTCCCTGACAGTGGAGAGTTGCCCCGGAGACAAGAGTCCTCCGGGGTCAGCAGCATCAAAGAGGGCCCGGACAGCTTACACCAGCGCCCAGCTCGTGGAGCTGGAGAAGGAGTTCCACTTTAACCGGTACCTCTGCAGACCCCGGAGGGTAGAGATGGCCAACCTGCTCAACCTCACGGAGAGACAGATCAAAATCTGGTTCCAGAACCGCAGGATGAAATACAAGAAGGATCAGAAAGGCGTGGGGATGATGCCTTCTCCTGGCGGACAGTCCCCGCGGAGTCCCGTTGGCCCGGCCTCCGGCGGTGGCGGCGGTGGGGGAGGCGGATACCTCAACTCTATGCATTCTCTCGTAAACAGTGTACCATATGAATCCCAGTCGCCGACTTCTTACAATAAACCTCATCAAAACGCATACGGTATGGCAACGTCATACCCCCCTCCTTTAAACAACTCCCTCAACAACTGCCCGCCCTCCCAGAAGAGGTATCCCGGGACCGACTCGGCCACGCCCGAGTATGACGCGCATCCCCTCCAAGGCAATGGCAACTACGGGACGCACATGCAGGGCAGCCCCGTTTATGTCGGCGGAGGTTACATCGACTCAATGCCTAATTCTGGGGCCTCTGTTTTCGGTCTGACCCACCTCCCGCACCCACCGTCCGCAAACATGGAGTACAATGGAGCAATCACAATGGGCAACAGTCAGCATCACGGAGTGTGTGATCCGACACCGACGTACACAGACCTAACGTCGCACTACTCTCAGGGAAGAATCCAGGAAGCGCCCAAACTGACGCATCTGTAGCAGTGGCGCTGCCTGGATCACTCCGCCCATTGTCTTATCCACCTCCAGACATATTACTGCTTTGTTTCTGCGCCTCCTCACGGCTTCCACCTTCTCTCTGCTTTTGTTTATGTTTCCTATAGTTTGATGTGTGAAGTAGCGTAGGATAAATAATCACGACTTGCTTGAATTTTTCTCTATTTGCTCGTGTCATTGTCTCACAAAGACCTTTATCTGGGCTGTAGGACGTCTAGAGCGGGCGGGCGGGAGGGAGGGAGGGAGGGATGGGGGACACAGTATATGCATAGGCCTATTTAATCTTTTTTTTTTTTTTTTTTTTTTTTAAATCTTGTTTTAAAATCGAAACTCAAACAGGGTATTATGAACACATGTTATTCATTTTTTTAAATGTGAATTTGTCCGTCTTTTATTTATCCGCAGTTGAAGAATTGTGTTTTTTTTGCATTTTGTTGCACTTGTGTAAGGATCCTCAAGAGCCACGAGTTGGGATTATGAGGGAAATACATTTTCAAAAAAAGAAAAAAAAAAGAAAAAGAAAAAAAAAACAAGGGGTCATGAGCTTAACAGGCAAACCTCCCTTGCTTTTATTTTTTTTGTTCTATTGGACTTTCTAATGTTATTTATTTTGTTCGGTGTAAAGAGAAAAAAGAGTCCTTTAGTATTATTTGACACCCCTCCATCTTTGTGTGGGGAGAAGGTTGGTGGAAAAATGAGCGTCTCGGCCCTTTTCTTCAGCCCATACATGTAGTCTGCAGCAGCTCCTCAACGGGAGCAGCAGCGAGCCATGTTGCTATTATAGGCTATGTTTCCATTTTTTATTTTCTTCTTACGAGGAGGTGTTTTTTTTTTTTTTTTTTCTCAGCGAATGTAAAATCAATCAGTCATGCAATAAGGGTGGAAAGAAGGACACACGTTTCTTTATTGAAGAACAAAGAAACAAACATCTTTTTTTTTTCTTTCGATGTCATACATTCCATGCTGCTCCAGTTCGAAGAAATAAATAAAAGAATTGAAATATAATGAAAGTATATCCTTTCAGTTTTAATTCAGACTTCCCAAAAGGATTCAATATGGTCACAAAATTAAATACAAGACAGTTATGCATTTCTTAAAAATTGAAATATAGTCCAAACATGACTATTTGTTATTAATATTACATGGTGTAAAAACCTGAAGGTGAAACATCTGAAATATATGTTTAGATACCTGGCAATACAAAAAAAGACTAATAAGAAAAAATATGTGCTGTATTTTTGCTCCCACAATAACATGCAATCATTAGCCATAATTATTATTCAGTAATAAAAAGGGAACTGGCTGCAGATAAAATATTGAATAATGGCTACTTGATTTTTTTTTTCTCCCTTCTTCTTGATTCGACGTGTAGAAAACTCTCGGGTGGCCCTGCTCCCCTCCTCTCATCTGCGTGGGCACATCCATAATAATAAAAATGTCACCCGGGCCCTTCTGGAGATTCTGCAAGAAGACAACAAGCTAAATGAGAAATCGTTTAAAAAATAATTCCCTGATACGTTCAGTCAGTCAAAGCCGGTCAGAGAGGATACAGCCTGAACTGGAATCATAACGGAGCTTATTTGTGTCATTATTCTGCAGATTTGCAGACGCCAGACAAAAGCCAGTTCAGTCCAAACTACCTCGGCTATGATTCAGGTTAGAGCACTGGAACTGATCAGCGAAATTATGAAAAAAAAAACGGCAGTATTCTCAAGTGTGTGTGTTTTGCTATATTGCATGCAAGGTGGCATTGAAATTCTACATTTTTATGTCTTATTTTCTGTTCATTTCAATACTTTTACGCATTTCCAAATTTCCAAAATACAAAACAGACACATCTGGAGCTACAATACTCATGTTTTGTCTTGTAATTGAGGCAACATTTCTGCAAAAAATTCTTATCCTCAAGCCTGCGTGTTTAACAGTTTTCTATCTTTCTCTTCAAATGAGCAAAACCATTTTTTTCCAATGATGTTTTTATGCAGTTGCAACATGATTTGTAATCTGATTTGTTCTCGCTGATTTCGCACAAAAATCACTTTGAGCCCAAACTGATTGATATATGCGGGCATGAACATTACAAGGCCTGACATATGGTTAGCAGGGAAACCTAGAACAATTGAACCATGGTGTGTCACAGCAAAAAAAAAAAAAAAAGCTGATGCATTGAGTATTTCTGCATCCAACACAGACACACACACCATGAGAGAAACACGCGCACACGCATACACAGCAAGATAATGATTTGACCCATATGCGTTATACCCAGGTAGCACATAAATAGCGTTTTAACTGAAACAGAACACTCGTGTTTCTTTCATTGCATTTAACTCCGTGGGAAAGTGGTCCTAAATCAATCCTGCTATAAAGATAAGTGTGTAGGACAGGCTGGGGTCCACTAAATGCCGCCACCCACTCCTTTCCTCGCACACAAAGCCTGTGCGTAATTCCAAAAAAGCCATCCGTCTCTTCCCCTAGCAACTCTGTCCTTCACCACACAGTCTGGTCCGCTCACAAACCTGCTACTAAAACGAAAAAAAGGAGAGTAAACGCAGTTGTGTAAAAAGAGCATTCACAATTCAAACATAAAAGCCAGGTGGAGAAGCTGCTTCGCCCTATACTCACCGTTGGCGCGTTACTGCCCTCTCAGAAAAAGGAAACGGTCGCATCTTGTGCAGCTGGATTCTTATTTGTCTTTTTAAAACATCCCTCCAGCGACAACCAGGCTCTAACTGCGAACAGAAACTGGTTCTAATCTGAGTGGCCAGTGTTTCTCGCCGCTTCCTGGCTGCATTTGATCCGGGGGAGAGTTAGAAGCCTTAAATGTGTTGTGAGGGCACCGAGCTGTCAGACCTTTTGGCGAGTAAGATTGATCGCGCACAGGCTTCCAGGACTCTTTGTTTGGTATATAAGCAACAAACTGAGAGAGAGGCCTTCCACTTCTCTTCTTCCTTCTCCTACTCACTAAGCCTGATTTTTCTTCTTCTTCTTTTTTTTTTGAATGAAAATACAACATGTACTTGCCTGACGAAAAACATCCCAAATGTGGCTTTCACAGATTATTCTGGAAGAGCTATGAAACCAAACACGGCGGGGAAGAGCAATTCAATAACACCCCATCTACATAATAACGCTGCAAATGGATTCGTTGTAAATGGTCGATTGTAACTGTGTTGATGTTTGCTTCGTTGCAATTTCAGGTGGGACTGATAATGGAAATACAGTGGGAAGCCTTTCTCAGCACTGTAGCCAGCGTCCCTCCAATAAATCCTGCTTTAGCCTTGTGACTTCCCACTATTAACATGAAAACAAAACCATTTCCAACACTGGGATGACATTTAAGAGAAGGCAGGAATTATTGTGGCTTTTAGTTATCGAAAATTCGCACTATTGGCAACCACAAAAGAAACAAGCCCCTGTGTGTTTATTATGGTGTTTGAGAGGAGGTGCACACACACATGGGCGCGCATGACCTCGTTATAAAATCGACCTTTTGTGGAATAAACGAAAATCTTATACGTGCCTTAATATCACGTCTTTACAGTTTGCATAAATAGCTGCATAATACAACAATACTGTTTGTGGGTGCGCATGTGTGCGTGTGTGTGTGTGTGTGTGGCCGTTTTACAAGTTTCTGCACAATAGCTGTAAACGTTAAACTGCTGTTATGGGATGAAATGGTCTGAACGTGTCATATCCGTCAGTATTAACTGAATGGATGGGCTTTTTATTGCAACACATGCCAATGGACGCACTGCATATGTCATTATTATGCATCTTTAAAGACCCTCATGTATTCTGGTGTCTCCTCTCAGTGAACAGACTGGATTGTTGGGGTTTGTTTCTGTCGAGAATATCATTTTTTGGGGTTGTTTTTTTTCTCACCTCTGAAGTCTGACTCTTGCCTATATGAATAGCTACTGGCGTGAAATGTGTGTGTGTGTCTGTGTGTCCTGTGTGTGTGTGTGTGTGGTGTGGGGGCGTTCTCGACTGACATCCTCAAACAATACGAGAAAGAGGAGTGCACGAATCCGCGCACCCTAGGCTGGGCTCCTTCCCTGTAATAGTGAGCGTCAGCCATTCTTAAAAAACACATTTTGTAGCTTAGTGGACTGGACTGGAGGGGCGAGAGGAGGATAAACTCAGCGGACAAAGATGTAAATAAAAACAGTCGTCCCCCAGCTGAGCGCGGCGTTCTTCACCAAGAGTTTTTGGATCAATCAGGCAGACAGTGGCTTCTTTTGATTAAACCCCAAATTGTCATTGGGCAGAGGTAATCATGTGACAGGCAATTCGGTCCAATTTCAACCTTGTCTCCATGAATTCAATAGTTTAATAGTAGCTCGGTCCCCACACGGCCGTAATCAGTGAAATAGAAAAAAATACACCACCAGGAGATTTTTTTTTTCTTTAAATGATTTTTTCTTTCTCGTCATCACTGAGCCGCAACATTTATAAAAATACGCGTGCAAACTTTCCTCGGCTCTCAGGGAGCGGAGATGAATTACGAATTCGAGCGAGAGAGCGGTTTTATCAATAGTCAGCCGTCGCTTGCTGAGTGCCTGACATCTTTCCCCCCTGTCGCTGATTCATTTCAAAGTTCATCAATCAAGAGCTCGACGCTTTCACGCCCGACACTGATTCCTCCTCCCTTTGAGCAGACCATTCCCAGCCTGAACCCGGGCAGCCATCCGCGGCACGGCCGGCCCAGACACAGCCCCGACGGATGCAGCCCGCTGCCCACCGCCTCTTTACCCCCGGAGTACCCCTGGATGCGGGAAAAGAAAGCGTCAAAGAGGAACCACCTGCCGACTTCCAGCGCTACTACCATCTCCAATGGACCTGTGTGCTTCTCCCCGAAAGGTGGGTGATTTCAAACTAAGGAAATCTTTACTATCTGTTGCTAAACTGATTCCCTACAAAGGCCCCTTCCTGGAAGAAAAAAAAAAGGCTTTGGTGTAGTTTATTCTGGCAGATATATGGTTATCACTTTGCTGTGATTGTGTGTGAAGCAAAGAAAAAAAAAAGTTTGGGTAAAGTTTGGTGATGTAAGATGATTTATTCCCCGAGCCGAAGCAGAGTTTTGATGTGTGACAGTAATGAAGAGTGATGGAGTGCCTTTGCCGACGAGGGCAGCTGGAGCATTCATTAGTATCCCACACCAGCCTGGACCTCACTGCTTTAATACTGTGTTTGGTTCAGGCTCATGCTGGACGTTATTTTCAGTTTTAAAAAAATACAACAATCATCTTTTACGCAGTGATGATTTGCCATAAGTGTGGGTCAGTGGCTCCAGCGGCCATTTTGCTGCAGCATGTTATGAGCTTCTCTCTGGTGGGTTGTGATAGCCTTTAAGATTCACGGGCAGCTGAGGGGGTTATGTAACCTGCGTTTTAATCCCACGCTACCGCCGGTTGCTTGTTTTCCAGGCTCGCCTGAGATCGTGGAGAGCGGTGGGGGAGGAGGAGGAGGCTCCCGGCGGCTGAGAACCGCGTACACCAACACGCAGCTGCTGGAGCTGGAGAAGGAGTTCCACTTCAACAAGTATCTTTGCCGGCCGAGGAGGGTGGAGATAGCGGCCCTGCTGGATCTGACCGAGAGGCAGGTCAAAGTGTGGTTCCAAAACCGGCGCATGAAGCACAAGCGGCAGACGCAGAGCAAGGAGAACCACAACGGGGACGGAAAAGGGCCGGGCGCCGAGGACGGCATCCACAGCGACGAGGAGGACGAGGGGCCTGTGTACGAGCAGAGCGGGGCCCTGCTGGAGAGAGATACCTGCTCCTTTCAGAATAACGCGCAGCAGCTCCACAATGGAGAGTCCATGAGCTTTGCTGCTGCGCCGCTGAACAGCAATGACAAAAATCTGAAACATTTTCCCAACCCGTCACCCACTGTTCCGGGCTGCATGTCAACAATGGGCCCCGGCTCGGCATCTGGCCCGGACAATGGCGACAGTCCCCCGGCCCTGGATGTTTCTTTACACGATTTTCAACCTTTCTCTTCGGATTCCTGCCTACAGCTCTCCGACGCAGCCTCGCCGAGCCTGTCAGAGTCTCTGGACAGCCCCGTGGACATTGCTACGGACAGTTTCTATTTTTTCTCGGAGTCTCTAACTACAATCGACCTGCAGCATCTGAACTATTAACTAAAATCAATCATAGTAACTTTCTTTTTTCCCCCTCTATTCTCTCGGAACAATAAATATCAGGCTACGACGGTATTAACTCTGATGTTATTTGTATATTCGGCACATTTATTCTGTTGATATTTGACTTGACGATTAATACAAGGTAAGGAAATGAAATCACTGAAATAGCTTCTACTCAAACGTGGCTTGTAATTACCATAACAAACTTGATCTCTTGGAATGGAAATTATGAGTGTATGTGAATAATTATACAATATTAGGCCTATGGAACCTGGTCGTTTTTATTTTTGTATAGCTTCCAATGTCTTGGATATTTTTGTTAGAATACAATTAACTTGCTACAATCTTTTTTTCTGGTGTTTGAGTCGTTTCTTTTTCTTTTTCTTTTTTTAAATTCCAAACGGGATATTTATTTTTGCTGTTGCTTGAATTATTAATGTGGAAAATATGCAAACATTTTAAAAATACAAAAAAGTAGGGCAAAGAACGATGAGACATTATGCAAATTAACAACAGGTTGGTAATGAATATAAATAGACTAGTTTGCATTCAGTTGCTAAACACACACACTTGTTTGGATTTTACTTTAAATGTAGATTTTAATTTAAACACAACTTTGGTTATTCTGGTGACAGATTAAAAAAAAAAAAAAAGAAGAAGCCCAGTTGTTTATGAATGCAAACTTTACTGGTAAAACTTTTTTAATATCAGGAAAATTACTTAAAAATATCTTTTAAATGATACTTACTATTTTTAGAGCAAAATAGGAGGATTTGTTTGGTTGAAATGTCCTGAGAATTATTCGCAATTGCACAGAAAAGTAAACACTAATTTATGCTGCAGAGAGAAACACTAAAATAGATTGTTTCCATTTTCACCTTCAAATTTAATACTTTTTTTTCCTTTCTCTTTTTAGAGAGAAAAAGCAAATACGCCAGCACGGATCTTTGCATGACAGGGCTCTTAACATTGTGTGCATGTTGCAGGCAAATACCCGAGCCATGTTTGCCTTCAGGAGCTCATAAATCACTCCGTGGCATGAATGAGACGGACATTAAGGAGACCAATTGTGGCGTAATGTGCACAAATAAAACCCCACTTACATTTTCATACGGGACTCCCCAATTCCTGGACTAAAAAGGGGGCTGAGTCTCCACCATCATCTCTGCATGCGTTTGGTAATAATTCATTTTTATAGCTTGTTTAAACACGGCTCTGGCTCGGCGACAGCAGCAGCAGCAGCAGCAGCAGCAGCAGCGGTAGCAGCCTGCTCAGGTTATGAGCCTGCACTCTTTCCCTTGTGTGCTCAAAGTAGCCCAAACTCAAAACAGACTGCTGCTGGACTAGATGTGATTTATCAGACATATAATTACTAAGAATAGCTTGCAGAGATCATCACGGTGGCTTACTTTATCAAGGGAGGAGGTGTTTGGGGGGGATTTTATATTATTATTGGAGCAGCAGTTACTGTTGCACTATAAAGTCTTTACTTCAATAGAGGGATTATGAATAATTTTGCACTGTTTTATTGCACTTGATTCGACTTAAAGGAATTCCTTATTACCTTTGTGCACGGTTTAACTCAATGTGTTAGTCCAGTTTAACAGATTTGTGTGTGAAAATGGCACAAAACAACCACCGGTTGCGACGCCAGCCTGCACGGATCGATTCACAAACTCATCTACACGTGGCGAAATTCATAAGCTCGAACGTTTATCGAATAATCTGGAAGCCATAAGCAGCTCATCGACTGGCTGGACATTAGCCTACTGGGCAAAGTGGCGTGCGTGCATGTAAGTGTGTGTGTGCGAATAAAGGAGAAGGGGGTGGGTAGGTGAGTGAGTGTGTGTGTGTGGGGGGTAAAAGTGGGGGCAGATCTTGTTCTCCTGCACTCTGACTAACCACAGGGCGAGTATAACCGAATCATTCCGAGACAGCGCGCCTTTTCTGCACACATGTGTTGGACACAAAGAGCCAAGAGAGCTCCCGAGGCCTGGCGAAGTTTCCACAAGGCAGGCAGGGCTGGATCCACTGCGCCCACTCACTGCTATTGCAGAGGCAGCTGGGAAGACAGAGAGAAGGGAGAGGGCTGGTGGAGGAGGTGGGGGTATTGACCCCACTGCGCTTTTTTTTATTCCCCACACTGCTGGCAAGTTTGCATCACCTCTTGAGCTTGGAGTTATGAAAACTTTAAATATCCAAACTATTTTGAGTACAGGCTTTTCATATTTAACCTTCTATCACATCTAAATGAGTCTAAAACTACTGGTGGGGTGGAGGTAAAATGAACAGAAAAACTCACATTGCAGTCTAAATTTCTACTAAAATAAAAGTGCAAAAGTATTAACTACAAAGTTTATTATAATAAATTAAAAGTAAAAGTACTTATTTGGCAAGGGAATGCCCCTGCAGGTGTAATATTGCCACATCACATTTTATATAATTAGATTATTAATACTAATAACATCTAAGCAGGATGTATGCATTGTTGAATTAAAAGTAAGGCATAAACACTGCAATATTTCTCTCTGACATGTAATAGAGTAAAAGTATGAAGTAATACAAACCACAAATACTCCTCAAAGTGTCTAAAGTGCCTCAAAACTGTTCCTGAAGTAATCCTGCTTTACTTAACTACAATCTATCTGTGCGTAAAAAGGTTCTTGGATAACTAAAGCACCAACAAATCGTAATATAAGCTACAAATACTGTCTTTATGCATTTCTAAAACTCCAGAAGGCATTTTGGGTGTTTGACCACATACAGCCTTTGGGGGCGCTCATCCCTCCACAGCATCTCCTCTTCCTCCCTCCCTCCTTCCTTCCCTCTCCCTCCCCTTTTCTTTCCCTTCCTCAGTGAGAGGTTGGGCATCTGCTCTCGCTGCCGCAAGTCTCCCACGCACACTTTCCCCTCGGCTCTCCCTTTTACTCGCTGCTTTCCGTGGCCATTAATTTCTCCAACAGCTTTATTTGATGAACTTAACAGGATAATCAGCCCACACTCGCACCTCGGGCTACGCAGGGCGCATTAGCTGCACGACGCATTATCAGATCATTTGATCACTATACATGCATAATGAATACATGTGGGAGTGGAAATCAGGGCAGATAGCAAACCCTGTGACCGAGGAGAGAAAAGAAAAATTAATACCACATCATCTTAATGTTTAATGTGTTGTCTTGTCGTTTCATCACCTGTGACCCCCCCTCTCCCTGCGAGCACCGAAACGCAGCCAAACAGTTCTAATGCAGCCTTGCCGGGGAGACAAAGTTGTTTAAAAGAGTCTTTTTTTTGATGCAACTGAAGTATTTCCTGTCTGCATCACGAGTGAAATCTTCTTGCCTGTCTCTCACTGTCACACTGTGACAATATTTGCTGAGAAAATCCCTCTCAAGTGTTCAAGCGTGAAACATTTCGCATCGGAATGGGACAGTGATAGCCCACAGATAGCCTGTGGCAGTGGCACTCACATTCTAAGACATCAATCCATCCTGCTGAGAATGACACTGCTATACATATGACATCACGGCTGTTATGCGCGGGCGAATACAAGCGCTCAAGGAGGGCAGACGCATGCCCGAGTGCGCGCATACGCACCAACACACACACACAAACACACACACACATCCACAGTTATTCTCGTCTGTGTTCCAAAAATACCGTACCTGAGGTCAGAGTGCCGGGTCGTCCTTATGGTGAGGTTGGAGAGGGTGAGACGTTAATCTCTCCCCCCGGTGGGAGAGAGCGCACAGCGGGGGTTTCACAAGACGCCTCGCCGGCAGCAGCCCTCTCTTCATGCGACCCCGGAGCTGTCCACCGCCGTCTGCCTCCCAGCTCATTGTTTGCTCGGCCAATACATTAGTGACGACGCGCGTCACCTTGATCGACGAGCGCTTGGAATTTAAATAGCCACTCAAACACCAATCTGTCACCGGCCGAAGGGATAAGGACAAGTACCTCACTGGCTGACCCGGGCCCACGTGACAACACCCGTTCATTGATATCGGGCCGTGCACCCCCCTCCCTCCTCTGATAAGCACAGAGTATAGGTAAAGGTTGGCACGGTCACTCAGGGTAAGAGGGGGAGAAAGGAAGAGACCAGAGGGTGTCTGTGCAGCGGACGGTCCCTCGGTCCCGGTAGAACAATGCTACAATGAGCAGCTTCTTAGACTACACGGTGATGAGCGGTGAAGGTGGCTCATGCTCTGTCAGGGCTTTCCACTCGGACCACGGGATTACAACTTTCCAGTCCTGCGCGGCCACTGTCAACAACTGCGGGGCGGATGACCGTTTCATGGCGAGCAGGGCTTCTCCTGACGGCATCCCTCACCAGCCGGGGTCATACCAGTCTACTGCGAGCTCTCTGGGTCTCTCCTATGGGGCCCATCCGGCCTGCAGCTCCAGCTATGGAGCCCAAAGTTTCTGCGCTACGTATAACCATTACGCGCTCAACCAGGAAGTAGACTCTACAGCTGCATTTCCCCAGTGCGGCCCACTGATGTATTCGGGTAACATTTCTTCCTCAATGGTCTCTCAGCACCGCCACAGTTACAGTGCCGCCCCCCTGGGTCAACTGCAGTATACCCACGCTGCCTATGGCGGCGGGCACGAGCAAGCGACCCCTTATCCTGGGTGCTCTAACCCGCTGTCACCGCTGCATGCAGCTCATCTGGAGGCTTGCTGCTCACCTCTGTCTGAAGGCGCATCGTCTGCACAGACTTTTGACTGGATGAAAGTTAAGAGGAACCCACCAAAAACAGGTGGGTGCCAAGTGGAGTGTGTGTGTATGTGTGTGAGAGAGAAGGGGGTAGTCGTGGCACAAAGTCTGTAAACACAGCTGGCTTGTAAATGGTCCTAACTCCTTGAAGTGGAGTGGTGTCAGGCAGTGCTGCCAGATGTTTCCTTTATGGCACACTTTAGTGACATGAGAGTATAAACGCATCTATGCCGATGTATTAACCGTAAATGTTACATTCTAGATCCTTCCAGAGTTACCTGATCCACTTAAACCACAATGCATGCATCTGTGATATCTTTTAGTATCTTTTAAGGCCTGTGCTGCTTCTTGTTTCAGAGCAGTTGATGTTAATTGGCTGCTGCGTAAAAGTTCCTGCAGCTGCGTAAAAGTTGATTCCTACTGAGAAGGCACAGGAAGTTGTCTCTTTGTTAATGTGATCAGACAACAAACAGTTCAGTCTATTTCCACACGTTCACGGTGATTTGTTCCCCTGTCCACAGGAAGGTCTGGTGAGTACGGTTATGCTGGTCAGCCGAACACAGTTCGAACCAACTTCACCACCAAACAGCTGACTGAACTGGAGAAAGAATTTCACTTCAACAAGTATCTGACCCGGGCACGCCGCGTTGAGATTGCTGCTGCACTGCAGCTGAATGAGACTCAGGTGAAAATTTGGTTCCAGAACCGGAGGATGAAGCAGAAAAAGCGGGAGAAAGAAGGGCTGCTGCCAGCCAAAGCGCTATCCTCAGATCCGGGGGAGAGCATTCAAGAGAAAATGGACGATGCAGCATCTGAGAAGTCTATCTCAGCCCCATCCACTCCTTCTCCCACATCGTCCACGTTGTCTCCCACGGGGGCTGATCCTTACTCCTCCAACTGAGGACCAACTGCCTCTTTACCTCTTTGGGCCACGGCGGCCTGTATATACCAAATTTCATACCAAGTGTATCAAAGCCAAAGTCTTTGTTGATGGATGCCATTTGTGGACATTTATGATGAGTTAATGCACTATTTGGGAACTTTGGACAATAATACGGACCATTTCTTGGCTATGGATTTATTTTATATTGTGTAACGTGTTTGCAAGAACAATAGCACTGCTGTCCAAATAAGTGTAGGCCATGGTTTAAAAAGTGTCCATTTGCTTTTGAAGTTTGGGGTAAAATTTGCAATTCGCCACGATTAAGTTGGTGCAGGAGACACACGGTGCCATCCTTATACCTGCCCCTGACCAGTGCTGCTAAACGTGCCAGTGTCAAGTCACAAATCTGCACACACAAACAAATACCTCAAATGTGCCAAAGTTGTGCATCCCGGCCACATCCGGTCTGATTGCACTGGATGCGTCAATTAGGCATCACACAATCAACGAGATGACCTCGTTTATTAATCGTTGCTGAGTGCATTGTTATAGTAGCTCCTTAATCACTGTCACTTCTGTGTTTCAGGTCTCTGTGTGTCGACTGTCTGAATGTCTATTGTGTGAGATTTGCATGATGCGTAATGCTTTCATGTGTTTTTAGTGGGGCGCTGAGTTTTATCAGTTGCGGAACAGGTCTCTCATGGCTGTGTATGTTCCAGGCTTTTATCTGCAAGCTATTTAATCCAGTGGAGCACATACAAACTGTTTTGTCCAGAGAAACGTTTACGGGTCAATCATGTGTATTAAAGTGCGTTTACCTCTAAAAGCTTTTCCTCTGTGTCATTTCTGAGGGGAGAGACAACGTTAGGGAGACTTGAAAGTTGATTTTAAAGCAAATATTCGCTCTAAATCTCTTTTATTTGGGTTTTGCAGACAGAACAACAAACTTCGGTCCGTTTCTCAACGTCCAAGAAGCTGCACGTGTCTGTTTTACTCACCCCAGAGTCTCTAAATGTATGCGGCCGTGCGCGCTCCCGTCCCTGGGGTAAATAGTTATTGGCATAATAAAGGCATGTTTATCCATGGAGAAGATGAGAGCGCGGACGTCAGCGTCATTTGTGATGACAACCTTATCGAGCTCTCGGCTTATTGAGGGGACAAAAAAGAAACTCTATTGATTAAAACATCGAGGTTAGGCTATCGACAAGGATGGGGCCCCACTGGTCCTGTCAGCGTCAACTCCTCAGCTCTCCAAGTTACATGGAAGTGTCATCATCCCCACCTGATGACAAGATGAAGAGTGAAAACTTGCAGCACTGAGTGTCACAAAGTCAACAATTGCATGTGCACAACATTGTTTAAATTTTAAAACGATTTCAACCTCTGTTTTGAGCATATTTGTAAATATACTTTTTAGGAATAATGATTTTTAAACTGCTGTCCATGACATTGTCTTTAAAATCAACTTTGCGTTTCTAAACTGGACTGAAAACTGGTACTTTGTTGAATTCTGTTGTAGCAGCTCTATTCAAGGTAACCTAAACTAAAGGAGTCTTTCCTGATTCTTTAGTTGTTTTAATTCCTGGTGTGCAAGATGCGAGTCCATCCTACCATAAAAGGGCAAAGAAACGCCGAAAGCGCCATGATTAATGAGCGACATTCACCTTTGCCGTGGATCCACCTGCAGGAGCTGGTGTATATGAGCTGCGGAGCCCCGCTGAGGCTGCAGCGGAGGCTGCTCAGTCCAATTCAGCAACAACAAACAGGGAGCAGGAGAGTAAGTTATGTGGACAATCTCTCTTTTATTAATCTGTGGTCCATTTATTTTCTAGGTGCATTGTGTTTTTGTGTATTGAGGACAAAGTGTGTTTTGTACAAAACCTGACAGGGTCAGTTTGGGAACTAGGGACACCCTCATTTTGTTGTTAGAGGAGTTGTTTCGGTGTAAATAGTTAAGTATGTACACAGACTTGTTGCTCAGGGGCCTGTTAGTGAGGCCAGACTGTCTGAGAGCTCAGGGGTCAAACGTTAAAAGATGTTTATTGACTCTGTCTGTATAAAAACAGAATTATTTTGTTTCAGTAATATCAGTAATAAAAAAAAAAACACAATGTTCAGCAATAGCATTTTATAGTAATATTGATTTGTTTATTTGCTTTTTAAACTTTTTAACAGGTGATTTTATATATATTATTAAATGATACCAAACGAAAGTTAGCTACACCGTTTTAATAGATTGTGATTTTGTGTTTGTGATTTTATTTTATTTTTTGTTGGCCAAATTGTTAAACACATTTTTAAATTGTCACAGGTTTGTTGAGAAACAACCGAATACGCCATGTGATTTAGATGTAAAATGCAAAACAACTGAAGTACTTTAACTATTGTGGTCACATTATTTTTTGACAAATGAATTTAGATTTTACTTCAAGAAAAATGTTTTTGTTCTCTTCAGCACTGACATGTTTTAAACATATGATTTTAAACTCATGGAAAATTTATAGTTGCTTCTCCTGAACATTTATGTCTGACGGTTATAAAAGGTATTTTGGATTTTGTTTATTTGACAGAATTTTGTTAGCGTCGCATTTCCGAGGCGATTCTTTTAATTTCCTATCTGGCGTCTTTTTTTCCCCCCTTTTACCTGCAGTTATAAATTACTGTGTTCAACAGGGATTGCCAGATATTTTACTGTAAGTGGGTCACATGTGTCCTCAAATTTAAATTCGGTTTACATTTATAGAATAACCGAACAGTTATTTTTTCTTCCACATTTTACCTCACACGCGGCTTATTTGTATATCTTACTGGGGGAAAAAAGCCAAATGAAAAGCTTGTTCTGTGCTTCTGAAGACTCTCTCAAACCTCCTCAGGGACCCTTGGGTGTCCCTGGACCCCACTTCTTAAGTTAAAACTCTCTAAAGCTCCCTCCACACATTGTGCGCTGCAGCAGCCACACACATTGAAACGCAGCTGATCCTCAAAAGAAATCTCAGGGTCAGTCCTCGGTCACGGTTTGAGTTTGTTGTCACAGCACCACCAAAAACCTAAACAACAGTTTACAGACCACACTGGGCAAACAAGCACCGCAACAATGCGGTCAGTCACAGTCCAGCACGGCCCGTTTGACCAAAACACCTTCAGACTTTCAGCCAAATCCTCAAAAAGAGACCTCAGCATCGGACGCTTTTTACTAGTTCGACCGCTCGAATCTGGCCCTGCGCGGCTGATGGTTTCCATTAGGGCCCTGAGATAAACACATGGACGATGACAGATGTTTAACTCAAACCATTAGGGCTTTGTCAAGGAGAAATAAATGTTTAAAGCTTCGGACTCAAAAGAGGTGATGCAGAAATTGTAAGGAGATTTCATTTGATGTGCGTAAAAGGACGTGCGCCCTGGAACTTTCAGACATTTGTGCCAATGTGAAATACAGCTTATATTTTTATATATATATTTAAAAAAAGGATATTAATCTGTCAGACAATTAAGCTCCTATAGTTGTAATAGCAAGGAAAACAATTTAGGCCGTTTCTTCGACATAAATGTAAATTATGAATCTCATTTTCAAATGCGTTAACCTAAACACTATAACCTGAGTTTTATCTGAATATTCCCATGAAGAACTGGGGAAATACAGGATACAGATTCTGAAACTTTAGGATAAAATTTAATTATAACATAATTATGCACGTAATTTAAGCTACTTTAATTAAATCATTCAGCTTATTAAAATATTTAAATAACCTGAAAATATGACCTCAATTATTAATATATTTAATTTTCAAACAATTTCGGATCGTAAAAAAAAAAGGCCTCCACAAAGCCTAATTTAGAACCCAATTTAAAATGATCATCTTCTACACTGCAAAATACATAAAGTTTGTATCTATGTTTTGGTATGTTTATATCAATATTATATCTCATATTATATTTTATTATATTCGTTTGAATAGGAAGCTCGTTGAAATATCTAGGAGTTTTGTAATTATCATTACATTTATTTCGAATTTTTGATTATTTTCTTATCTTTAGGCGATTTAAATTTTTACATACTGATCATTTTAATTTTGGCTTCTATTGCAATAGCATGACAGTGAAGTCTTAATTATGACCTGGCCTGTATTTTTGGATGGTGTCAAAGACCATTTCACAACCTGAAATCTTTCCCCCCCAAAACTGCATTAAAGCTGTAAAACAGACATTTTAAAAGGTTGTTACAGTTGGTTAAAGCTCAAGTATACTCTAACTATGTGGCCCTAAATGACAATGACTTCTTTTGGAAATACTTCACTAAGACATTATACTCTGTGTGTGTGTGTGTGTGTGTGTGTGTTCCTTAATGCTGAATTAAAGCAGTTAAAGAATAAGAAAGCTGGTGTTAATGTGATTCTTTTTCCTCCAGCAGTGTCACTGAAGATAGAAACATGATTTGTGAAGCACAAAAGAGGAAGCAAAGTTGACAAAAAAGACCCACAGGCCGCCACCTGCCAGTGAACAGGTACTGCTATCAGAACCCACACACACTTTAACACCCACTCAGAAATTCAGAAGCATATACAGGATATTTGTAATGAGGTTGTTCGTACACAAATACAAATGCAGGTGCTTGAGGATATTTCAGGATGAGTTTACACACACACACACGGACGTGGAAATACACTTCACACAAAAAATCCCACCCCTGCACAGTGTGCAACTGATGTCTCAGCCTCTAAAGTTTCCTTTTGTTATTTTATTTTCTCAACTTTTTTTTAAAACAGAGTTTCATGTGTATTAAAAAGTTAAATAAAAGGACTTTTGATTTCTGAGACATTTACGCTGGATCAGGAAACTATAGGAACATTTAGTTTTTAACAAAATCAAATGCTTTTGCTGAAAGACTTAAGTGCAAAAGCTGGGTCATTGCACCACCCATGGTAAATATTATTTTTTGTTATTGCCATTAAAATCTATTGGCCAAAGCCTTTAGGTCAAATGTCTGCATTGCAACAGAAAAATCCTGTCCTCTGTGTGTC